TTAATTGTTTTGTGTTTTATTTGGATAATAGCAACGATTTCTACCGCCACCAAGGAGGTTATGTATTCACTGATGTCACTGTCTGGGTGTCTATTCTAGTTTGTTTTTATATCTAGTAAATAATAATTGAGAATTGATAATAAAATACGCGACGACTTGGTAACGAAAGTTTGGCAGAAGTTTTTTTAGATCCAGCTGTAGGGGGCGTCCCATTGTTTGTATTCCCACCATGCATTTCTGTGGAACACTTTTTTTGTGTGGAGAACTCTATCTTGTATTTCTAGAATCTTTGCTTTTACACTCCAATATTATGGATTGGGAATCAAAATAACTTTATATGGATAAGCAAATTTTTTTTTTTTTTTTCATCCGAGAGGGGGTCCAGGTCTGTCCAACGGGGGAGGGCAAATGTCCCCGCTTGTGTCACCACTGCCTACCATATATCTTTGACTGTTAATTAGCAAATTACTCCGCCATCTTGGATTTGCGTCCAATACATGTCGAGGTAGTATAATGCTGAGAAACGGAAGCAGAACTTGGAGTTGGCTACCAGGATGTAAAGTGAGTTTCCCACGGTGATACTGGTCTCCGTGATCACCAAACAGGAACTAAAATAATTGGATATTTTCAAGAAAAAAAAGTTGTCATCTTCAAGAAGAAACAATACAAGATAATTTAGAAATTTTGTACATTTTACATACAAACGACATAAAGAATAATAAAATGTAAAGAATGAAACTTACTACAACCAAATTCTTGTTTTCATGTAAAATATGTTTGAGAAACTTTACGAGACTGTCGTCCACTTGGTTGATTGATTCCTCTTCTGGCCTTTCAGGATGAATAATTTAAATTGTGAAAAATATATAACAACTACGATACCGGTAGTGAATATCTTATTGTGTTTCTAGATGACCAAGTAATTAATATTATATATCATGTTCACATAAACAGAAAAATTCACTATTCTATGGTCACATAATAATAATGGACCGTTCCGCTCTGATCCACTCCTTGGGTACGGTATGGTTGCTAAGTTTCCACAAAACGATAGCGTTTAAACGCACGTACACTTGTGTGTTTGTGGGACTTGTGCGCAGTCTTCTAGTTTGTCAGTTTTTATGATTAAGACATCAAATTGAATTGTAATAGGCCTACTGCGTTCATTAGAACTTGTGAAAACTGATTTCACAACTTGTAACATGCGGGTACACAAGAAGAGTGCATTCATTTGACGAACGCTAAATGGCTGCTATTACTTTTGCAATGTGTTCGGAAATAAAACATACAAACATTTTTTTTTTAATCTGAAATGATATTACTTAAACAAATTGCATTAAATATATTGGGTTGCAAATAAAACATACAAACAGCACTCTTTTTTTTATCTGAAATAATATTACTTAATAAACAAATTGCAATAAATACCTATGCTCGTTGTGCATAGTTTGTGTTACATCCGCCATTTTCCACACTTGCTTGTGCAAATCGAGGGAGAAAATTCTAATCGAGTTCACAACTTGTGTTTACAAGTTCACCAACGAGATGAACGCGTTTCACAAGTTGTGAACTGGGAAACACCGACTTCTAATGAACGCAGCATTATACTCACGCACGCACCATAAGGCCGCACATATGAGGCGCCAAAGTAATCAACCAATCTGTTTAACATTATTTACATTCTCAGCATTCCTTGTAGGATTAAAGCGAAGAGTTTACTAGTAACTGTCCCCTCAGGCCATAGCAGTCACAGCGAACTAGTACTAACATACAGGCCAGAGGCCTACATTGCATTGTTCTTTATCCCGCCTTTAGGCCTACCTGGTTTCCTGAAAATCGCTACAGTGTTTTCAGGGCAATCGTACTGCGTAGCAGTATCCCCGACGCAATCAGGAAGGCTTCCCGATTCGACCGAACAATCAGCATCACCAAAGCCTGTCGGTAATAGCGTGTCAAGCCTGGTTGAAGCTCGGTTTCCATAGAATTGCTCACCGACAGTTTTTTGGAAGGTTAAACCTGGTTAAACTTTGGTTGCAGACGAATCGAGGTGCCATCCCGATTGCATCAGGGCAGCTGCCAGTGCACCCTAAATCGTCTGCAACGCAATCGGTTAATTTGAACCAGGCTCAACCTTCCCGACATCTGTCGGTGACTGTCGCCGATAGGGTGAGCGATTTTGTGGTTTCCATAAAAATTGTTACACACTATCGCCGACTCCTTTGGCGACGCTGATTGGTCAGGTGAATCAGAGAGCATTCCAGATTGCGTCAGGGACAGCTACGCAGTGCAAGAATTGGAGTGAAATCGCTGTAGCGATGTGTAGCAATTCTATGGAAACCAGGCTTAACGAATGTATGAAACAAAGCTTCACTCTCATGTCATGTTTATTAATATTCGAAAGGTGGCCAGTTTTGTACCGGGGTCTTAATAGTAAAAGGCAAAAACCTCTCAGCCATTTATACATAAATAAACAATTAATATTTTTAAATAATGAGAGGTATCTAATTATTGCACGATGATGGATCCATAAAATGCTCATACCTACCGATGGTGCGCGTTAAGATCAAATGCAATCCATTTAGCTGGATAATCTCGCTTTAAGAAGTCTCGTGTGTAGTTCAGGATATAATCATGTACCATGTGATCAGCAACACAAAACCCAGATAATACGCCTGGGGACACCTGTTTAAGCAGTCAATACATAATAAATATGTTGTATGCCCATAGCAGTCATGATGTGTCTACATATTGTCATGATGTGATGTCATCATAACCATGCATGTCACAGGTTTTTTTGCATTAAAGTCCAGATTATCAAATTCTCTTTGGAAAAAAAAGCCGTTGTATGCCCATATATAGTCATGATGTGCCTATATATGGTCATGAGGTCATGATGTGATGTCATCATGACCATATTTAGGCATGTCACATGTTTTTGTTAAATACAACTTGATAGTCTTAACAGGGTTTATACTTTCTTCTTCAGAGAATCAAATATGTTGGCCTACCTCCTTATTTTCCAACTTCACCCATCCGTGTTCCCAGTACGGAAGCACTCCCGGTCGGTCAGTGCAATCCTGAATATAAATAATAGGCCTAATATAAAATGATATTGATAAATATCAAGGGGGAAAAGCAGCTTAGCTCAGTCGGCTAAACTGGTGGTAGCAAGCTACGAGTGCATCGTCTTTCGGGTGAGACGTTTAAGCATGTGTATTATGCGTTGCAATTTAGAAGAACGGGGTACGCTCTTCAGAAAATAGTAGTAGGAGATTGCCTCCCTCGGTGTACTGCCCAGTCACCACCAAAAGAACCCCACTGGAAGTAAGTCTACGTTAGACTCTCGTGGGTTATCCTTGATGTTTACACCGAATAAATCCAATACGAAGTACAATTTCATCAGATATCATTTTTAAAGAATAATTTGCATTTCAGGAGTGTCAATCTAACTTATCAAATAACCAAATGATAATCAACAAAGGGCCAGAAATACGCTCATCCTAAAAAAAACCAAAAAAAAAAACAAGTTTCTGTAGGTAGCTGTCTTGATGTGGGACCTTCTACAACAATAATGCAAGGGCCGGGTCTTAGCAGAAAGGTTGGAATGAAAATTGTATTTTAAAATTCATAGTTTTAAATATATTTATGCTGTCGGTGGTGAATTCAATGTGTTTATAGCAGTAAATGATTATATACACTTTTAGTGAGACACTGATTTTCGCTGATTTTTTTTATTGTAAAGACTATTTACCATCAAAATCTTTTTATATTTTAGCTGAAATAACCAGAGTAATTAAGAATCATGAAGTTATATTTTAACAGGTAGTATGCCTATGATGTCCTAACAGTATAAATTACCTTGCAAACAGTACGTGTGCCGAATAGACCGTTTCCATTGTCCTGACCGTAACTTGTGACGTAACCCCTCTCATTTGCATATTTCCAGATCCACTCATCAACTTTCTTTGTAAATCTGCAAAAAAAGCGATAGGCCTTACATTGCGTACCATACCTTCATATTACTTCATCTAGAGTAACATTTTCTTATTCCAATGGCGTTTTTGTGTCATGGGAAATTATAATACAAATGATGTTTGCCCTACCAGAAGTGTTATCGTATATTGAATGCTCAGTACTTTCCCAAATGCTTGCGAAAAAATCGCAAGCAAGCACTTGGGAACGACAATACGATATCAAGTAGGGCAAACATCATTTGTACTAATAAACAACATTATCATTAGGGAGCTTTCGAATTGCGCGACGACGTGAACGGAGAACGTATTAGTGACCGTCGTCGTATACGTTTTCTTCGAAACGTAGATTCGTACAGACTGAACGACGTCATAGAGTTCAGACATGCGTAAATGCCTCCACGTGACGTCAGTACGTTGCAAGTTTTACTGTCGTCGTACAATTGATGCTTCCTATCAAAGAAACTGCAAGAGGCCAGACTCTCATGTCATGTTTTCGTTGGAACGTAATCCTATTTTAAAATATACTGCAACGAAGGGGCGTGTCCTTAGACGAGTTTCGAGAAATCGAACTGTACTCGAATTCAAATAGAGCGCCTCATATCTCGTGACAGCATTTTTTAACGTCACGTTGCGTGCATACACAGAATCAGGTCAGTCGGACCTCTTGCAATTTTATACTTTTTGTTCTTATCTTCAATGTGTCATCTCACCAGCTTCGTCACCATCTTGACCGCGGGACTATATAAACAGTAGGCCTACCTTTTTTCTTTCACTCTTATTTGGTCATCACCACTGGAGAAAAAAATACCTGTTGATGTATAATAAGTGCTAATTAATCAATTTAATCAAACCAACTAGGAATAAAAAAATGTCAGACTAAAGCACACAAAATCGGAAAGCCAGCCGAGCAGATCAGAAAATCCATCGGATCAGTATGACGATACACGCATCGGAAACGCGGTCAGTTCGGTTCGGATCAGGGGCGGCGCGAGGGAGGTCCCCGACGGGGGAGGGGTGCCTCCGACGAGGGGTCCGATTTCCACAACGAAAGCAAAGTAGGCGTGGTCGAGCTTCAATTCAAAATTGGTCCAGGAGGCGAAGCCCCCGAAAAGTTTGACAATTTAGGGTTTTAAAGGCTTATTTAATCGATTTTAGAGTCTACTAATATGTATAAAATACATATAATTTTTTATCACCTTGTGCTTTTTTCTCCCAACGGGGAAAAGGGGAGGGGCAGTTCTTCCCGACGGGTTGCCTGCCCCACCCCACTGGCGCCACCCCTGGTTAGGATCCTATATAAATGCAACTTAAATGGAAAATATAACTTTTGATAAGATAGGCCTTCTACGGTATTAATATTCATATAAACATTTTACCGGCATACAGTGGTGTTAAGTTCATAGCAGTGACTCCCCCGATAGAGTTGATGCGATTGAATAGAAACGCTTGGTGACTATAATCACGCGTGACTTTTCCCTTGCTGGTGCCTGGAGAAGAAAAGGAAGATGTTTTTTGAAATTAGAGTTATTATAATGTCCAATAGAGAAGTTGAATAAAATCAAATAAAAAAAACATTGAAAATCACGAATACCTCAAAAATATTAGCAAAACTTTTAAATGCTTTTTTGAAAGAATTATATAAGGTATATTTATTAACAATCAATTTATTCTATCAACTTATTTTTTGTAATTACTAACTATGTATTTGATTAACATACGGTATTGCATATAACACTACAAAGATTTTTAAAAAAGAGAAGTCTCCCGCTAAACACACACGTTATTATAACATTCGCAAACGTTGTGGTGAGGGCATCAGAAAATCAAGTTAAAAGCAGGCTCCGGAGGGAACCACAAAGTTGGTATGTTGTAAAAACTGGTTTACCTAAGACACAATTTTATTTAGAAAAATCGTTTTTTCCCTCCGGAGCCTGACTTCAACGAAACGTTGCAGCAACGTTTGCGAAGTCAGAAATAACGTCATAAACACGTATATATGGTTCTACAAAAAGGTTTTGAGCACCAAACTGCAACGTTGTTGTAGCGATTTTGAGGCCCTCTTACTACCTCCGAATTGCGCATAGTATAACTGTTGCAGGAACTTGGCAGTTTTTGGTAGACCACACGACCGATGAAAATGTGCTCGCGACACAGAATCTAAGCTGATCGATAAAATTGACAGCGGTTGCCATTGAGGTTCTTTCACCTTCTGTAATAAAAAATCGAAAATACACCAATCAGAATGCGGAGTTTAAGCCTGACACTCACTGCGTCGTCCGACGGTCGTACGACCGTCGCACGACGAATACACATTTGCTTCCGGCGAGCGATAGACAACGCAACGCCGTCTGCTGATTGTCAGTGGCAATCTGAACGGATCCTCATTAAAAAGACGATCCGTTGGGTCGGCGTTTCCGCGTGCGTTCTTCGTCGCGTTGTTGCTGTCGCGTCGTCGTAGCACACAGTGAGTAACCGGCTTTAAACATCACAACATGTCGATTGGTGGCGTAAAAATATGAATGAATAATTGATGCCCTTTCAATCAATCTTTGAGATGAGAATTGTAAAAAAATATATATATGAAAAGAAAATTGATTGAATGAAGTTTATTGTGGATACTATTGTGGATATTAAGATTAGAGGGTACTATGTTTTGCTCCTTTAAAGATGGTATCTAAACAATTATAATCATCATTTTTGCAATTACAGTAACCTCCTCATTTTGATATAAAATGAAACTTACCAAACTTAAACATAAATTTGTGTATTTAAATTTTTTTCAGTATAATAGAGACTGACAGCCACTAGAAGTATTTTATTTGTTACAAATCAAGATACACATATTTATATCAATACATTCTATGCTCAACTTAATAATTTGCATGTTACTACAAAATAAGCATTTTCAGGGAACAATACATCTTTAACTGTGTTTCGTTACGTCATATTCTTTTTTTTGTATTTAATTTTAAATCTTCGTCCGTAATCGTTTAAAATCAAAGCTTTGCATTTGTTATCTGTTGATACAGAATGTCTCTATGAAATTGAATGTTATGAGGACGTCTAAAATCCTGCAAATTGTATTAATGCGCTTTTCATGAATGTTGCCTGATAGAGTGTAGCCCCGTGTTATACCAACCGTTTTATCAAATAGCAGCCGTTGCTTATCCTCAACGTCTTTGTTTGGTTTAAACTGAGTTCGATAATTGTGATATTCCTTCGACCTAAATGAGGAAAAAAAATATAATGATTTCAAAGCTATTATAAATCCAACATTATGT